GGTAGAGAGAATAGTGCAACAATGAATGAATGGAAACCCAAAATCTCTGTAAATGTTTATGAAAATTAATAAAATATAATTTTAGAAAAAAAAAAGCTGGAAAGCTGTTTCTGTACACTGCAAAACTGGAGTCCTTAAGCTTCACCACCCACTGAGGTCAGTCTCTCACCCCAACTCCACTCTTCCTACCCTTTTCAGAAACCTTGAGCAGGGTCACTGGCTGTCCCTTCCTTCCAGGGGCCCAGTCAGGAGACACTGCAGTTCCCTCTACACCACAGCTCAGAGATGAACCTTGCTTTGGGACGGGTGGCCAGGACACTGTAGGGGGGAAGCGGCCTGACCTCTGACCAAAGGAATGAGGTTGTTGGACTGGACGCTAAGCAGATACAGGCAAATTGCTAAAAGATCTGAGTCTCCAGCTGCTCTGGGCCAAAACCTGTCTTGGTTTTCTAGCTGCTGTAGTATCGTCGAGTAAGAACCAACTCATAGCTGACCCTCTAGCAGGCTGTCAGAGGCAGTACACTGCATGAGAGGAGAGTCTCCATCTTTCTCCTGTGGAGAAGCTGGTGGATCCAAGCTGCATGCCTTTGTGTTGAAAGTGCAACTCCTTACCACTTGTCTTGCAGGTCCCACCCCAGGGCAGCCACCATCTCAGCAAACCCCCTCCCTTGCCAGTTGCTGTTATCTGTTGTTAAGTCAACCATGACACATCGTGATCTTATAAACAATAGCTCTGAACCAGATGTATCATGAGCCAATTTCACTGTCTCCAACACACTTGTCCCCACTGCCACAGTCAAGTGTCAATGCATCTCATCCACGATCTTCCTATCCTGCATTGACCCTCCACCCTTCCAAGCATGTCGTCCTCCTCCAAGAACTAATCCCTTCTGGCAACACGCCCAAAGTCATTGAGACCAAGTTTCAAAATCCTTGCCCCCAAGGAGTAGCCCAGCTTCACCCTCTCCAGGACAAACCTATTTGTTCTTTTGTCAGCATGGTATGGTATGTTCAGTAGTCTTCTCCAACACCACAACTCAAAGGCATTGATTCTTCTTCTGTTATCCTTAGTTACTGTCCAACTCTCAGATGCATAGCAAGTAACTGGGAAGATCAAGGCTTGGGTCAAGTGCACCTTAAGTCTCCAGACTGACATTGTTGCTCCTTAGCGTTTGGGAGAGATCCCTGACAGCAGATTTTCCAAAGTCACTTGTCTTTTGATTTCCTGACTGCCGGTGCCAAGAGTGTTGATTGTGGACCCATGCAAGATGAAGCTGTTTGTGCCAGATCCACACCCTCCCATGCTCACTGGGAGCCACACTAACAAGGGCAGGCCCCTGTCCCACACAAAACACACACACACAGTCTGCTCCTCAGTCCTCTTCACAGTATTTTATTTTGGTCTTGACCTCTAAAGCAGGTGGTCCCTGCTAGCAGTCACTGCAGGCTCATGTCAGTATGGTGGGCAGGTCCTCAGATCACTCTCTGAACTGTCGTCCCTGTCGGTGCTTAGGCAGAGTGGGGAGCCATTCCCTGGCCTCCTCCCCTAGTTCAAGGGCCAGATCATTGCGGTTTTACTATTTGGTGAGAAAGGAGTGGGCTGGCCCTCGTGGGATGGACATTGGGAGCCCAGACCTTTCTCCAGGTTTCTTGATGGATGGAAACTGGGCTGGGGGAGGGCAGCCTGGCCATTCTCACTTCACTTACCAAACCCTGTTAGCCTCCTCAGAAACAGGCACCTCCAGTCCTCCTCTCAACCTGGGAAGGTGGCCCCTGGTCATGTTCTGGGCCACCCAACTAGACAGGACAGGCTCCAGCTCTGAAGCACTTTAATCACTGTTTCATCCAAAGCAATGACCACTGGTTCCAACTCAAGGCCTTTAGTCACAGGACCCGTCCTTCCAGCCGTCCCGCCAGCGCTCATCCACCTGTGAGCAGTCGAATTCAGGCTTGCCCAGCTTCCGGTTCACCTCATTGTGCAGGTGGCATAGCCACTGGCTGAAGTGGACCCGGGTGCGCGTGTCAGGTTGGTTCTGGCATATCCTGAGGGCAGAGGATGGGAAGGATGGGGTACAGCTGGCCCAACACCTGCCTTCAGCCAGCTCCTAAAGGGAACACAACTGTGAGTGTTCACAGAGGACAGAGAGGACTCAAAAACCTACCCAGGGATAACAATATACAAGACCACTTACAGGAAATATAAAGAACATGTACACAGAGACAAAGCAGACTAGGAGAAAGGAGTACTGACGACATCATGTGTGACTTGTCAGACTGCTGAATGATAGGCTGGTGGTCTGCATTCACTTGTCTCTACTAGCAACAAAGAGGGCAGTCCTCTTGCACCTTGGAAACCCAACGAGGGGCTGCCTTGTGTCAGAACCCACTCAACAGTACTAGGTTATGAGCTGGAGGAAAGAGAGGATGAAGACCTTGGGAGACAGATGATGATGGCAGCACAACGTGAAGAATGATACATTCCAACAATAGCTAAATCCAGAAGAGAGAGCATGGAGGGATGAATACAAACAAAACCAGAGAGAGAGAAAAAAAGGACGGACGGTGTTAATACCAGTGTGGGGACTGCAATTAAAGTCATAAAACAAAATTAGGATGTGTGGCTGAACGCAATACAAATCTGCTTTGTTAGCTTTCACTCAAATGAGTACTAAAATTGCTAAGACTTTCTTACAAAAATGGAAAGAAATAACATCAAAGCTTATCTCATCTGAACTTTTCTACACTGAAAATACAAAATATGGAGCTCTGGGGGCCTAGTGGCAAGAAGCTGCACTGCAATCCCAGAGATGCATGGTTCAAATCCACCAGATGCTCTGCTGGAGAAGGAGGGATAACCTCCTCCTATACCAGTTAGATCCGATTTGACAGTATGCACACAAAAAATAATAAAGAGAAAAAAAATAATAAAGAAAAAAGAACCTACCATAATACAAAATATGATGACTTTGAAGGATGTGTGCAGCAAAATAAAACAATTTTTTTCCACACAAGTGTGTTTCCTGCACATGAATAAGGAGGCCCGGCGGTGAAAATGCATGGCTGCGAACCTCAAGGCTGGAGACAGATGAGGGAGTTTTTCTTTAAAGACGACAGCCTTGGAAACCCTGTGGGAGAGTTCTACTTTAAACGACAGGTGCTCTGCCGAGGAAGGAGGGACAATCTCCTCCTGTACCAGTCAGATCTGATTTGACGGTACACTCACACAAAAATAATAAAATAAAATAAAATAAAAACAAAACGACAGGATAGCTCAGAGTCAGAACTGACCCCCATTCATAGCAATGCTGGGCACATAAATTTGCCAAGTAAAATAGTTCAGATAGAGTGGAAGAAAAATATGAAACAAAACTCAAAATAAATGGCTAGGCTTGCTGGTCTTATAGAGACTGTAGTGCTGGAGGCCAAGGCCCCCCAGTAAGCTTTCAAAGCAGATGCTAAACTCACCTCTGTGGGTCAACTTTAAAAAAAAAAAGACAGGCCTGTAATATGAAAAAGGCCAGGGATGTACTAAGGAAAAGCAAGAAGAGGAAACGGAAAGAGTGTGAAGCCTGTGATTAAGGCCCTGAGACCAAATCTGCATGAGTGAATGAAAAGCCAATCTGCTCTGCACATTTTCAGTTTTCACTCAAATCTCAAGTCACAAAAACACAAATACTGCATAATGCCACTGTTATAAAAGAACTGTTTCAAAGGAATTTTATGATTAGGTATAATTTGCCTATAGGGTAGGGAGGAAATTGTGCAACAGTGAAAGGATCTTTCCTTTCCTCCTTCTGATATACGTTGAACAGGATCTGACCTGCACAGGAGGAGACTGCCCCTCTTTCTCCAGTGGAGCATCTGGTGGATTTGAACCAAGTGCCTTCAGAATTGCAGCACAGCTTCTTGCTACTAGGCCACCAGAGCTTCCTGAAAGAATCTCTTTAAAGAGAAAAGTGAACTGGGGGTGGGGGGTGGGGGAATGTGCAACAATGAATGAATGGAAATCCAAGTTTTCTGTAAACTTTAGTTAAAATATCAACAAAAAATAAAATTTCACTCAAAGCACTATAAAAAGTTAAGATAAAAGGGTCAAACTAATCACAAGAGTCCACAATTAAGGGTGCATAGTGGAATGTACTTGGGGCGGTGCGAGGGGTGCAGGGGGATTGTGTACCAGGGAGGGAATGTTTCTTTACTTTTCAAAGAGAGGAGCGAACTGGGGGGCGGGGGAGGGCTAGGCGGGGAGAGAAGTGCAGCAGTGAATGAATGGAAATCCAAAATCTCTGTAGATGTTCATTAAAATTATTAAAATTTAAAAAATGAAAGGAAAAAAAGGATCAAACTAGCAAATTTCACCTATATGTTTTTCAAGCCAGTAAAATAAGGAAAGGGAAAAACAAAACAGACCATTACCAAACTCTACCCAGGGCTCAGGCTGACCTTTCCCTAGCTGGGCAGGTTTACAGGCTGGTAACCAAGAGGTGGCCTCAGGCAAGAGTGGGAGGAGTGGGACCTTTTAACTGAATCCAGGCCACATAAGTTGCAGGGAAGTGCACACGGGTCGCCACTGGGGCAGTGGCACAACTGGGAGACCTGGGTGACTTGGCTTTTGAGGAGAACGGAAATGACCCCTGAATCCAATCCCGCTACCGGGTAGCACCCCACTCCTAGGTCCCCTTCTGTGGCATCAGCTTGAACTCTGCCCTTGGCGCAAGGCCACTTGTGCGGGCGCCCACTCACCTCTTCTTTAGGTCTTCTGCACATTCATCGCACGGGTAAAACTTGGAAAATAAGTGTATGAACTGGGCCATGTCCCGCTGCTGTTCCGTGGTAGGCACGTCGGGGTAGTATGCGGCCAGCGTATGGAGGACAGCCCAGCTGTGGCGGCCCAGTTCCTCCCGATCTTCAGGACAATCCTCCCTAAACTTACTCTCGCGCTGCGGACAGAACCCGACCGAGGCTCAGTCCAGGCTCCTCAACGAGGATCCCGCAAAGCCCCAGTTTTCTCGCCCCACAAGGAGGAGGACCCAAGTCTGGCAGCTGATCCGCCCACGCGGCGGGGAATGGCAAGGACAAGATCGAAGGGGTCAAAGTTTAGGGACAGGAAAGAGACAAGACGGAGCCTCAACCTGCTCATTTTGGGGCCTTTTTTTGGGGAGTAGGAGGTCTTCCAGGGGCACCTGAGAAGGTGAGGAGGCTCAGCAGGGAGGCTGTGCACCTTTTGCTGAGTCCGCATCCACGTCTTGAAATCCACGCAGGCCCGGCACTGTCGTCTGCGGGCGGCGTCATCAGCGACCTGAGGCTCGGGGGCGGGCGCTGGAGCGGAGACAGTGGCATCCTTGCGCCTCGCGCCTCGGCCCCGCGCGTCCGTCGCCAGGTCGTCCAGCATTTCGGAGCGACCGCCGCCAGGCAGGAAGGAGAAAAGGCCGCCACCCCCGGCGCGTCCGCGGTCACTGGAGGCCGCCATCTTGTCCGCGCAAGGGCTGCTGGGCCAGCTCGGCCTCCAGAGGGGCTTCCAGGTCGACCTCCGCACGAACGCGCGTCGTTGTCAACTCGCGAGCGCACGAACCTGGAAAGGACGCCGAGGGCGCAGGCTCGGTGCAGGGGCGTGGTTAGGAGGAGGTGGCCATTCCGCAGCCCGCGGTGGGGGTGGAGATGTTGGTTAGGCCTATACCCGCACTTCTAAGAACGTAGCTCGTGCCCCGGCCTGGCTTTCGTCCCGTGGGAAGACACTTTCGCTTCCTCCAGGAGAACAGAGTCCTGTCCTCGAAGCGCGGCTTCGAGTTAGGCTGCGAAGTCTGAATGGGGACCCGCAACACCTCCATCGCTGCACTAGGCCTGTCCCGAGTGCTCGCTGAGCTTCCTCCGCTGGCGGGACAACCAGCAACGGGCGCCTGGTCACGCCAAGTAGGGTCGTTACCGCAAAGACGGCGGCGCCCGCGGGCGCCCTTACCCTGGTTCTAAGGTTCTGCCCCGGCACCATGGCAACGGGCACCTGGCAACACAGGGCGGATCCGTGCATCTTAGCTTTGCCTGCAAGGAGCTCTGGTGACCTAGCTGCGCCCCAGAGGCACGCAGTTTGGATCTACCAGCTGTCCCACAGGAGAAGGACCCTTCTCCCGTGGAGGGTCAGCTACGAGTCGGTTCCGACTCAACGACACACAAAAATGGGACTCAGAGGACAGAGCCTTCTCTAAGCTTACAGAGTCAAGGATACTTAAGCTTTCATATGGTCTTTCTTTCATTGCGCAAATACTGGTGTCAGCCTCCAAGTTCCAGGTTGCTGAACCACTGACGCTAATGGTCAAGAACAAAACAATAAATACAAGGACACAAAATAAATTTGCACTTATAAATGGTGCAGTGGGAGTGTGTACAGCACATGTCTCAAGGTGAGGGATTCGCAGCAGAGGGGGCAATTATGGCCTGGAGCTATAGGTATTGAGATTGTTGTTGTTGTTATGTGCCATCGAGTCGTTTGCGACTCATAGCGACCCCATGTACAACAGCCCTAAACCGTGCTCTGTCCTGTGCCAATCTCATTGCCTCTGACACACCCATCCCGATTACCCCAGTCACTGAATCAATCCATCTCATAGAGGGCCTTCCCCTCCTGCGCTGTCCCTCTACTCTACCCAGCATGATGTCCCTCTCTAAAGACCTGTCTCTCCTTACAACATGTCCA